GTTTAATGACATTCAAGAAGGTTCGGACCTATCAACTAGTATGAGACATGGCGTGATCATGTTGTTGTACAAAAAAAAACAGAAGGACGAGATTCGTAACTGACGTTCAATCTTCATACTGAACATATCGTACAAGTTATTAGCTAAGGCATTGACACGTAAACTTAGCAAGTACCTCCCTGCCCTGGTGGGATAATATCAAGCAACATTTGTTCAAGGGCGATCTATATTCGACAACATTCTAATTGAGAATAAGCAGAGACCACAAAAAAATGTTATTGCTAGACCTGAAAAAGACTTATAATAGAGCAAATTGGACCTTTGTCCTAGTCACTCCGAGAAAGATGGGATTTGCGGATATTTTATGTATGTGGGGAGTAACTCTTTACACTCACTCCACAGCGGTAGTAATAGTAAATGGGTTTTTATTTGAATCCTTTACGTTTACTTGCTCCCTAAGACAGGGCTGTCATATCGCCCCCTAATGTTTGTTCTCCAGTTAAAGGTCATTATCTGTAATCTCATACATCAACTATATATCAAAGGCCCAACACCGCCCAATGGAGAATGTAAGGTAAAAACTCTTGAAGATGACCTATTTACAATTTGTGATAATTTGAGAGAGTCGTTATAAGCTTTGAAGAACCTGTTGGATGAGTATGCTACCTTATCCGAAGCGGCAGTTAACTGGAAGAAATCGGTATACTTCCTTCCCCATAACCTTTATTTGCAAACAGATTGGATAATTACGAGAATTGAGCAGGGGGAAGCGAAAAGATTTATGGGGGTTATGGTGGTTATGGATGAGTGTCAAAATGTCCAAGAGGAGATTTTGTAGAATAAGATGGTTAGTAGAGTCAAATCCTGGGGCTCGACCCCCCATCTGTCGATATTTGGTAGAACAATGGTCATGAATGCATTACTCCTCTCACTTTGTAGGTAAGGATGCTAGGTCAATCCATGGTCTTCTTTGTAATGAGATTAACGACAATATTTATCTGGAAACCCAAATCAGAGAAAGAGGGATGCTTTATTTCGAAGTTAGTTTGGGAATTGATAACCTTCAATAGGATGGAGGGTGACTTGGGGTTTTGTGACCTGGAAATGCATAACTACTTGCTTATTTCTAAATGGGTAGTGCGGGTTGCAAAACATGATGGGCAGGAGCATTGAATTTAGATAAAGGACTATATCCTCTCACAGGAATGAGACCTGCAACGACCACATGATGTATGACTATGCCTTCAACTGAAATTTTACTTGAATCGGAAATTCGATCTCCATTATGGGCGAGAGTGGTCAAGGCGTGGAAGAAAGTTAAGCCAAATGTTTGGATTGAGTCAGTCACCAAGGAATAAGTTATGAACCAGCCTCTGTTCGATAATCCTAAGATTACATAAAATGATGGGTGACGCTTCCGAGCCAACAAGCAGCCTGAAACTTTTGGAGATAGTTGAATTCAACGAGGTATCCTTCACATTCAGAATCTCTGGAATAACAATACAGGGGGCTGATTCTTCCTACGAGTAATTCGGAAGAAACTGAGAAACCTGCATCAGGTGAAAGAAAATAGAGATTTAATGATCGACTCCATCCCAACATAATGGAATGCATTTTGGAAGCAGATGCCACAGACCCACTGAGCACTTGGTATATGTCAAAACCTCCGCACAATAATCCAATCTACTATAAACTAGTTTCATACGACTTAGACGGTCAAAGATAGTGGGATCCTTGGCTAAGTGGTACCACATGACCAAACTCGTTCAAATGGATGAACCATTTGGGCAATCACTGAGGGAATAGGAAACACATGTCAAGGTGAAGGTAACCTGGGATAAGTAACAAAGCTATCAAGCTATGCTTTGTGGACCCTTAATACCCATTGCCTATACTGGATCCTGGAGCATGGGGCTGGCTAGGTTTAGGAGAACAAAATAATATAATAAGGTTTTTTAACTTCAATACAAAACTGTATATCCTTCAACCGTCTCGACTGCCAAAAACTATCATGACAGAGCGATGGGAATTCACCCTCCCCAACTCAAGGCAGGCAATTGCTAGTAGAATGACAGACTTGTGAAAACAGTTGGTGTCTCTTCTCTCACAAAAGATGGCTTCTACCATGTGGCTGCTTTCCTGGTTGGTAACACCCTCGACAATATGGCTTACGAGCAAGGGAATGCAGATCAATATGACATGCAAACGTTGTGTATGATCGTATGAATCAACAACTCACTTGTGGTGGGATTACCCCGCATTGCAGAGGATATGGAGGTGGTAGGTTGACCCTGGGAACCGTTCTCAGACCAAGAATGGTCATAAGACAAACAGTGGGCTCTGATGGGCTGCCTCCCAGACAACCTCTCAGAATCACGTGGATTGGGTACGTGGTACAAGTCTGCCGAGTAGTTATTATATCAGTTATCTGAGATCACAGATGGCAGACCTGGAAACGAAGTACTTGATCCACTCACGACTGAGACAAAATATTATCGCAGACTGGAACAGGCGACATTGTGATCCAGTAAACTGGACAAAAACTTGATGTGGTTTATGGACACTTGGTCTACGGGTAGGCAATGGCTAGCCACAGTTCATGAAGGAAAAATCGCTTTGTGCCCTTAACTACAGGCGGATAATAATTGAATTGAGACTGGTTTAGTTTGATAAGGGAGGATGTACATGTATGTGTAGAGGACACGTTGAGTCAGAATGCCCGAAGAATATCAGGGTAGAGGAAATGACTCCTCTGAGTGCTTTAGACTGGGGTTTAAACAAAAAAGATTATATGAGGGAGTGAAAGCAATTTCTCAATAGTACCTAGGTAACAAGAGAACAGGGATAGAAAGACTAGAAAACGGGTAAAGGTTTCAAATAACGGCACGAACAATTATTGGAGCCTTTATAAGCCCATACGACAAAGACAGGTTTGGATGTTTCGGTGAGAAGATTCCAAGGGACTTCAGTGAACTTTCGCGCAGTTTAAAGTAACTCGTTTTGAGTATTAGGACACTTGGTTAAGTATTTTAGTCACAGGAGATAAGCAACAGGTGAAATGTGTCACCTTTTGTTATTTTCCCATACCGCTCCTCCTTTTGTTGTAATCAGGATTATAATATGGGTTAATTCTGTTTGTTTCTTCGGATGCCTGTGTATTTGGTATGGATTGTGATAAGAGTGTCAACAGGGGGCGGTCGCCCACCAGGTCGTTTTAGACCTGGACAAAGTTTTTGGCAATTTTTTTTTTTTTTTTTTTTTCCTTGTTTTTTGTTTCAATCTCAGTAGCGGGGAAACAATATTCAGTTTTAAAGAGCAAAAGACTCCATATCACTCCAGCTTATCAGCTAGGCATACAGATTGGTTAAAAGTAAGTTGGGCATTAAATCCCAGTGTCCTGGTTACCTCCGGGTTGTTTGTGAGGATTCCCTCTTTGACAATTCGCAGCCAAAGGCTGCGTCTTACCCTATTGCACTTTGTCGTGTAGTTTGACTTTACTAAAAAAGAATATTGACGACCTTTTAACGAGGCTTATGGGGCGTCGAGAAGGTGCGCGGTCGGGGGCAAAGCACAAACCAGTAGGCCAAACGGTCGGCTCAGAGGTTGGAGTGCGGGCGACCAACAGTAGGTGGCAATAGGTCGTTCTTTGGTGGCGGTGGGCGTCGCCCGACCTTTCCTTTTTTAGGTTGGTCGACCTTCCTTTTCGAGTGGGCGTTTTTTTGGGGGGGGGGTTGTTTTGGGGCAGGCGGGGTCTAATAAGTGATTTTTTTAAGGGTTGTTTTGGGCCAGGCGGGGTCTAATAAGTGAGGGAAGGGACGACCAAACGCCCTCGCTCCACCACTCACCGACTGTGCAAAATGTGAATGAATCTTCAGCTAGAACATGAAAGTATACATCGCTATAGTTTTGTCTTTTGTGCTTGTGCTGAGTAGTGCAGCGAGGCCCAAAGGTAGGATTCAGGGCATTGCCACACCATTCTCGAAATTCGCAAAATGGGAATGAACTTCCCGCTAGAACATGGCCAGATGCACCCGCCACATTTTTTGTTTTTTTTTTCACATTTCGAGAGTGGTGTGGCGAGGCCCAGAGTCCACGGCGGTCGATCGATGGTGGTGGAGGCGGGAGGAGTGAGAAAAGTGCCACCTCGCCTGTCATGCTCCTCGCTCCGGCGCCCTGCGCGGTACACAGTGGATTGCTCACTTTTTCATGGGAACAAAAAAAAAAAAAACACGGGCCATGCATATAGGCTACTCAGGGGTGGACCCCACTGGAACGACGTAGAAACCCCAATCTGTGGTTTACACTGGAACAACGTAGAAACCCCAATCTGTGATTTTCCGGGATCTGTTTCCAGATGGTCGGGTCCCGAAAAGCGGCCCATTCCACAAAGAATTGGCTTTCCAAGGGGCCTCCTTTTTCCAGTGGGGTCCGGGAAAACTACTGGCGGTGTGCTTTTCCCGACATTTTGTCCTCTGGGTCCACGCCTCACTCCTCCCGACTCCTCCGGGCTGCGCCACCACGCTTGGCATGGTCTAACAGTTCTTTAGCAGCCACAAAACTACCTTGTGCGTGGTGTGAACATCCTGCGGCGCGCTCGGGCCCACAAGACAACTTGTCGACATCTGATCGACCAGATGGAGACGTGCTCAGCTACCCGGCGAAGGGACTTCGGTCGAGCCCACGGCTGCCAGCGGAGGGCAGAGCGGAGGCACCCCACCGCGGTAGTTCTCTTGCGAACCGCCCCGGCAAGAGTTCAACGGAGTGGCTAAGGGCTTTTGTGTGGAGGCCGATGGATCGTTCGGCGCACGAACACCACCACGCGCCGGCATGTATTGTATTGTAATATGCAAATTGAATGCGATGTGATGTGATGTGATGCGGTGTGATGTGATGAAGTGGCATACAGAAGCAGAGAGCGGAAACCGGTACTTGCGATGGTGGCTAGTAGCCAGCTTTTTGTCGGTTAGCAGTGCCGCGCTTGCGCTCACGCCGCAGCGCATGCGCGGGGTGTGTTTGCTTCGCGGTTGGTCCGTCGGTCGGTCGGACGGACCTTCGAGCCCTTCGTCGCACCGACGGTCAACAGCACACAATACGAAGCTGAGGACGAGAATTTGAACTCCTCAAGCGGCGTGAGCGAGAGTCACGCGCGGGAACGGTTTTTCGGGGCTTGGCGGGGTGTACGCCCATCTGGTGGGGAAACTGGCAGGAGGGTACTTGGTCGGTGATCCCACTCGGTGACGCCGGTGGTAGGCTAGCTAGCTACGGTAGCTAGGTGGATGAGAGGAAGGGAGGGAGTGGAGAAGTTAGGGGGAAAACAGTTAGTTGGCGGGCTCACTCAGGCTTTCAGGTCAAGGAGTTAGTTGGTCATCTTGTATCAATTAGCCGTTGAGGGTCGTATCAGCGGCGGCGAAGATGGTGGATGCACAGAGGGCTTTACTCGACGAGCTGATGGGCACAGGTAATGTCGATGTGTACTCCTGATCGACGTTCATCTTCTTCACTCGTTCATGTTGTTCCTTCCTTCGTCATGCGTCAATGTGAGCATCCTCTCTCTCTCTCTCTCGCTCTCTCTCTCTCTCTCTCTTTCCCCTCTTCCCCCTCTTCCCCATTCTCCCCCTTCTGGCTCTAATTCCGATGGTGCCACAATGGAACCCATCTCTGCTTCCAACAGCTTCTAGGTATTATTATGATCATTTGTGATTGTTTGCCATGAGAACCCTCAACATGCCCTTCGTCAAATGCGTATCGTCTGCGGCCGATCACAGCGAATAGGCTTCATTTTTAAGTCTAGTACGTAATTGTTGGTGATGGGAAACCTGTCATCAATACATTCATGATGAGAGTGGGTTAAATCCGGGGAAGAAGGGTATGCAGGGAGTAGAAATGCTGACGGGGTGCTATCGCGCCGTTGCGCCGTCGCCATGCCATATTGCGTCATAGCTCGCACCTCTCGAAAATTGACCGTAGGCTTGCCATAAAAAAAGCACTTGCTAGTAATAAATAAAAGGATTCCTCGTTGCGAATCTGATTGAAGTGCATATGAGCTCGTAAGGCGACAGGTGTGAGCCACGTGGCACTGTGTGTCATCTCCACATCTGGTGGTTGAGCTGGGAATCGAATGCGCATGTGTAACCAGGGTTTTGCTGTTTCTACCGTCTTGCACTGGACATAAACATCGGGTTATTGCAGCTTATTTATGAATCTGAGCACGAAAAATTACTGAGCATACAGATGGAATTGCACACCGTCCTGCTGAAGGGGGGGAGGTTATTGCAAAGCGTCAGACGGAGAAAGAGGACTGGCAAGTGGTGTTACGGCTAATCACATGTGACCTTGACGTTTTCTGGTTGATTGGTGGCCAAAATGCGCTCCTCGCTCCTCTCCCTCTCTCCTCTTCTTCCCTTTCTCCCCCTTCTCCCCTTTCTCCCCCTTCTCCCCTCCTCCCCTCCTCCCCTCTCGACGTAGAAGCTTGAACTAACGGAGGGATTCTCCCAATCGGTAGCGATCATTGCCGACGTTGTTTTTTCATCGCCTTCACGTTGTTCCCTCCCTTAAACTACACTATATATATATTCTTCTCTCAAATTCTTTCCATCTTTCACGACCAACCTACCACTTCCCCTAAGGCTATACAGACAGGGCAGCCCTGCGAGCGTAGCTACCTACCTCTCTTGGTGAAAGGAGGTTACCTCTCTCGGTGGAGGGGGAGGTAATTGCACGTTTGCCCCTTGCCCTAGTGGTTTAGGGATCAGGGTTGGGCCCGCCGGTGGGGGCCCGGCTAACACAAGGACCGAGCATTTGCCAGCAGCTGCGCCTCCCTTTTCATCTCCCCCCACCGCCTCTCGAGTAACAGCAGTGTCTAAGGCCAACACAACAATCTCCCACACACCACACGCAACCCACCCACCCACAAGCAGTCGCACCCGTGTTGGCTGAACACCCTACTAATCCCGACGGGGAGGATCCAGCTGACCATCTCGTTGGTTGGCACCAAACGTGCCACAGGCGGCCATGGGGATTGATCCCGCGGCCTCCTGAATGCCACTTGCGCGTGCCCAACCAATTGAGCTCGGCCGCTGGATGCCTTCTCTCCTTCTCTCCTTCTCTCCTTCTCTCCTACTCTCCTTCTCTCCTAATCTCCTTCTCCTATTCTCCTACTCCTACTCTCCTACTCTCCTACTCTCCTTCTCCTACTCTCCTTCTTCTACTCTCCCACTCTCCTTCTCTCCTTCTCTCCTACTCTCCTACTGTCCTACTGTCCTACTCTCCTACTCTCCTACTTTCCTTCTCTCCTCTCCTACTCACATACTCACCTACCACTCTCCCACTCTCTTGCTCTTCTCGTGCGGAACTTGCTCATCCTCTCCTCTCTTATTCCTCTCCTTTCCTACTAACCTACCGCCTCCTCTCCCACTCTTTTGCTGTTCGTGTGTAGGCCTTCTGCCTCCGTCTTATTGTCGTTGCGGTCGTTACTTTTCGACGGCTGTAGTGTTCTCTTCATGTCATTTCCTCTCGTTTCCTACTCTCTCGCTCTCCTCACTCCTCTCTTTCCTCTTGCGATCGCTATACCTCTTCCCCTCTCTTCTGTTCCGTGCACATCTCGTCTGCCATGAACTGCTCCCCGCGATGCCCGTTCCACTTTCCTATTATATCTCCTCTAATTCGCCTGTTCTTCTCCTACCGTCTTCATTCGAATAGGACGCCCGGTCATTATCGCTGCATCTGGACTTGAAAATAGCCCAAATACCGCTATAATGACGGGGCGTTATATTCGGGAGAATACGCTGTTTCCTGTCCTTTCGATGTCATTACGCTTCCCCTCTCCCACTGTTGAAATATTAAGTAACCGACTTTGTCTACATTCTAAATGGTCAGTACTCGTCCTCGGTTCTCCGCTCTCTCCTTTTTTTTTTTTTTTTTTTTTTTTTTCCCTCTCTTAAATGCCAACTTGGCAAGTGAAGTTCTTTCTTCTAAAAACGATATCATCAATTGAACTTAAAGGCCCTAGGTCATTCAGAAAAAAAAAATAAAAAAAATAAATAAAAAAAATTGCACTATTTGTACTCATCTGCTTCTAGTGGAGTTCGAACTCAGGTCTGTATTTCAACAGTTCAGTTTTAGGGGTGTACCAACTGAGCTACATTTTCCCCCCGAATACAACGTACAGTCATTATAGCTGTATCTAGACTGAAAGATGGCTCAAATGCAGTGCGAACTCGGGGTCTCTATTTCAACAGCTCAGTTCTGGGGTGTACCGACTGAGCTAGGCCAGCTGGTTACTCCTCTCTTTTTGCTTCCTTCCCTTTATACTTTTCGTTCTCTCTTTTTCCTTCCATGTACCAGGGGCGCGGCGCCTCCTCACAGTCCCTCCCCCCTCCCTCTCAGCTGTTCCATCGCCTTTTCATTCTTGTTTTTTGCGTCCTTGTCCCGTTATTCCACGGCTATGGCCCTTTTTTGACGCTTGTCATAGCCTTCAAGAGGATTAAAAAAAAGGGGAGGATTCTTCCTTTTCGGTCTTCTACCTGTAAGTTTTTTTTTGTTTTTTAAATTCTCTTTTAAGGCCTTCTCTGTATCCTCCGCGTTTCTAACCTCCACCCACCCTTTTCTCGTCGTTTTTTTTTTATAAATATTTTTTCTTTTTCTTTTATATATAATATATATGTCGATCTCTGGTATGTGTTATTTGCTTTGTGGCAATTGGATTATCTGTGGGATGTGTCATTTGCTTTGTTTGATTGATTGGCTTTCTTTCTCTGTCAGGTTTGGTCTTCTTCTCCTTTTCTTTACCTCTTCGCCTTTTGGCTTCGTTGCAAGTTGGTCCTTGTGACACACAGCAGGGATGGGGGCAGCCAGCGCTCAACCTGTCATCCACGTCTCTACTCTGTCTCGTCTTCCTCCATGGCGTGTGTTGCGTGTCGTCTCATGATGTGCTGTGCTGTCGGTCGAACTAGAAATTCTTATAAACAACAACTGACACCCTTCTGGTCTGTACTTCTCAATCTTGTCAGCAATGATTGCCCGAGTCTTTCTCGATTCCCGTTGCTTTGCGTTTTTCTCTATCTTCTTCTCTCCCTTGCCTCTTTCTCTCCTTCTATCTAATCAGCGTTTTTCGTTTTCTCCCCCCTTTTTTTTTTGGGTTCTTTAACCCCCTTTTTTTTTTTGGGTTCCTTAACCCCCTTTTTTTTTGGGTGACGGTCCTTGAGATATCATTGAGATATCGTCCTTGAACTGACCGATCCTTTTTGGTAATTCAGAATGATGTTTTTATTCCTGTTCGTCTGATTGTATCTGGATTCGAACCAGAGTCTGTATGTCGACAGTTGGCCTTTTTTTTTTTTTTTAATTCCTTATTCTTACGTTTTCCACCATCCCCCCCTCCTGTCGTTTTTTTACCCAGAAAACAGGACCTTATGGTCGGTGTCGCCCCTTCTCCATCCCTGTTCCTTCTATTATCTCTCTTCTCAATGGTCTCTGGTCATGTCCTCTTTGTCTCTCATCCGTTTGCGTGTCTTTCTTCTCCCCCTTGTCGGCGTTTCCTCCTGTTCACTAGCTCCGCTCTCTCAGGTTCTCTCTTTTCTCTCCTTCCTTCTCCGTCCTCTCTCTTCTTCATTTTCTTCTCTCTCTCTTCTTCGTTTTCTTCTCTTGCTAGTCGTTTCGTCTCCTCGGCGTTTTTTCCTGTTCTCCTCGTTTTTCCCGCTCCTCTCGCGTTTTCTCTGCTACACTTCCTTTTTTTTTGTTGACGCCCTGTTTTTTAAGGCGTGTCCGCTTTGAAGACGGGCCACTAGATGTGAAGTTCAAGACAGGCTCGCGGGAACCCTTCCCCCTGTTGTTTTGCTCCGAAGCTCTCTTGGCTCTCCTCTCGCCCTTTCTCTCTCAAGCTTCATGCCTTCCTGGTGTTGAAACTTTGCTGTCCTCTATTTTCTGATTCGCGGCTGTCACTTCTCTTTCTTTTCTACACGTTGTATGACCTACCTTGTGGTAGACTTTCGTCCTCTACTTTCTTTTTCGTTACGTTTTTTCTTTTTCTTTTTTCTGTGTAGCTATTGAGTGTTCGTTGAACGGAACGCGGTTAGTAATGCGTGCTCCGTGTGTGCACGGTGCTGGTCTTGTTGCTGCTAAAATGCTGTCGCTGCGCGTGGTGGTCTATTGTTTTTTCCGCTCTAATTTGTTAATTAGGGGGCCTTTGGCCGCGCATACTCGATCGGTCAGGCAATCGAAGTGCTTGAAACGGCAGCGTTTTCTTTGCGTGTATGTGTATATGTGTGTGTGTGTGTGTGTGTGTGCGTGAGAGAGAGAGAGAGAGAGAGAGATTTGATCGGTTCAGCGTCTTTGGTAGGTGTGGATGTGATATTGGTTAGTGTGCGTGTGTATGTGCGCGCGCGCAGCGGGGCCAAGGAGAGAGAGAGAGAGAGAGAGAGAGAGAGAGAGAGAGAGAGAGTACAAGATTCCACCTGACAAAAGAGCATGGATGTGCCGGACCGTTTCTTCGGATTTTAACGGACTCATGAGGAGGTTCAACCCCTAACAGACTTCCCAGGATGCATTTGATTGTTGATTTGCTCGCGGCGTTCCCCAGAGTTAGCGGTATCCCTTCTCAAAGTGGTCGACTTTTCTCACACCCACCCTACCAAATCTTAGCAGACTGTTGGCCCGAACCCCTCGCAAGAACGGCAGCAAGTCTCAGAAACTAGTCTGTGACAACCAGAAAACCCACTCCGCACACCCAATGTGCGTGTTTGCGAGGTAGATAGAGAGAGAGAGAGAGAGAGAGAGAGGGAGGCAGGCAGGCAGGCAGGCAGATAGGCAGCCAGCCAGAGGCAGGCAGGTAGGCAGCCAGCCAGCCAGAGGCAGGCAGGTAGGCAGCCAGCCAGCCAGACAAACAGAGGGAGAGGTCTCATCTGGTCAGCGTCTAGTGTCTTGCTCTATTCTCCGTGGGCGAAGAGTGCCCGTCGTCTCCACTGGAAAGCGGGTGGCCGAAGTGCTGCTCGTCCTTTGTTGGCGGAAGGGCATGACGGGAGGGATGGTGGGGGAGGGAATGTGGCCTTTGGAGGGGAGGGGGGTGCACTAATAATCAGGAAGAAAGAGTGAAAAGACGGTTACGGTTGGAGTGGTGAGGCGGCGACTGTCATCTAGTCGATGAATGGATGGATCTAATCAATCAAGCAATCAATTAATCAATCAGGCAACCAGGGCAATTGATCGATTGCTAATCACCGGGGTTATAGGGATTACAGGTGTCATGGACCACCGACCGTCTTACCCCGAACACAACGCACCCTCGTTATTATGACAGTACCGGACCGGACCGTACATATATCTTCCTTGGTTACGGGGTGCGTTGTGTTTGGGGGAAGACGGTAGTGTTATCCTTTTTTTTGTTTTGCTTTACTCAAGGCTATGTTTTCGTTCCCTCTATTTTTTTGTTTTCCTTTTTTTGTTTTTCCTTTTTTTTTCCTTTTTTTTTTTCCCTTTTTTTTCCCCTTTTTTTCCCCTTTTTTTTCCTTTTTTTTTTGTTGTTTTTGCTTTTGTTGTTTTTGCTTTTGTTTTTTTTTGCTTTTGTTTTTTTTGCTTTTGTTTTTTTTGCTTTTGTTTTTTTTGCTTTTGTTTTTTTTGCTTTTGTTTTTTTGCTTTTTTTCTAGGCTACCAGCCGGGGCCGCCCGGGTAACTGCGGCTCGGCCGTGCAAGGACCAGGGAAGGTCCCAGCTCCCCAAAAAAATCCAAAAAATCCAAAAAATCCAAAAAATCCAAAAAATCCAAAACGTCCGAAGAAAAACTATGTTATGCAGAAAAATAAACTGAACAACTTTTGCCTCAGGGTGACATCGAAATTCGTTACCAAACTTAAAATAAAAATTTTATTTAAAAAACAATTTTATTTTTTTTAATTTTTTTAATTACTTTTTGGCCCGGCCGGGCTAGTGGACCCGGGCCACTCTGGTAGCCTAGCTTTTTTTTTTTTGATTTTTTTTTGTTCTTAATTTTAACCACATGCTCGACTCGAAACCGAGGTTGGGGCGGAAAGGAAAGGAGGTTTGAGTGGAGGTGAGATGGGAGGGATGGCGGGGGGGGATGTGGGCCATCCGGATCCTCATCACCACCCTTCTCCCCTGCGCTGACCCCCCCCATGGCTGTCATTACCTGGACCAACGACTACAGGTAGCTCGACACGAAGTCAACAATGGGGCCAAACGAATTGAGAACCGTGCAAAGGGGAGATGGGAGGAAGGGGGAAGAAGGCCACAGCCCGGAGAACCGTGCGAAGGGGAGATGGGAGGAAGGTGGAAGAAGGCCACAACGCGGCGGAATCTTCTTCATTGGGGGATATTGGCATGGTTTGGCTCAGGGGTTTCTGGGCATTCCTGGCGTTTCCAGCAAGGCGGCGGAATCTTTGTCCTTCTCCCATGCCATGCGATACCGATGAGGCTTACGCGTTTTTTTTTTCGCAGAGGGGGGAGGGTGCGTGGGTCGAGGGAGGAGGAGAAGGAGAAGGACCAGGAGGAGAGAAAAGCTGGAAGAAAAAAGGAAAGAGGTCTAAGAGAAACTCGGGTACGAGCGAGGAGGGAGCTGACGCGAGGGTGGCGCCTGGGGAGGGAGGGGGTTCATGAAGAAAATAGAAACCCTTTTTTCTTGACTCTCTTGCACTCTGGTTGATGTTTTCACATCTCCGCAAATGACAATGTATGACGACGAGGGTGCCCGAGCGATATTCCTATATATCGTCAAACAGAGCTGCCCGGTAAACCGTATATATATGTATCGTCAAACAGAAATGCCCAGTAAACAGTTGGCAGAGAGGGGGAAGAGGACAACAAACGAGGGGCTGTGACAAACTGGTTCGTCGGAGTCTCAGCGACTCATCAGGAGGCTGAACACTAGAGAGAGAGAGAGAGAGGGGGGGGGGGGGGGGGGGTGTTCAGCCTCCTGATGAGTCGGTGAAACTCCGACGAAACAGTTCGTCACAGCCCGTCGTTTGTTGTCCTCTTCTCCCTCTCTGCCGACGGTGTACCGGGCAGTTGTATTTGACGATATAGATGAAGAAGCAGAAGAAAACGAAGAAAATGAAGCAGAAGAATAATAATAATAAGAAGAAGAAGAAGAAAGAAAGGAAAAAAAAGAAGAAAGGAACAAATTGCCGAAGAAAAGAAAAAAAGATGGGGTGTGTTATTTGCTTTGTTGGACTGATATGTCTTCCGCTTCCCTTGTCATTTCTTTGACTGAATCCCTTCCTCTTTCTCTTTCCGCTGTGAGGTTTGGTTTCCTCCTACGCACTTGGTCCAGGGCTTGTCCAAATGCATGTAGAATGTTGTGTAGTGGAGCGACACCCTTAGTCCCTTCCTCTCGTACTGACTCTCCTCACCTCGCTATTCTTTTCTTCCTGCTGCTTCTTTCTGTTCAGTGCTATTCCCCTCTCTTCCCCACTCCTGACGGGCCGCCTTAGGCTCTATCAGTCCATGATATGATATAGAAAAAAACGTGAGAAGTAGGGCGCGAAGAGCGCTACTATATCCAAAATAATGCATTGTCCCGGCCCATCCATCTGCCTTTCTCAGTCCATTACTCGGCTCTTCACTGCTTCTCCTCTGTCTGCTCGTTCTCCTACCCTTGAAGTTGCATGTCCTATTTCTTCACCCTGTTACATCTCTCTGCTTTCACCCTCCCCTTGGCGACTCTATCGCGCGTCTTCCTTCTCTCTCCTCTCTCCTTGTCTCTCGCTCTCCTTGTCTCTCTCTCTCCGCTCACGTTCTGCACACGCTTACTTCTTGTCCATTTTCCAATCATTGGGGTTGTCCTTTTTGTTGTTCTTGTCCCCTCCGCCCTCCATCCCCACCCTTCCCCCCCTCCCCCCACCTCCTCTCCCTCCCTGTTCTCTCTCAACGTTCTGTCTTGTTTTTCCCGTACATCGATCCTTACTATGATTCTTTTTTTTAATTCCAACGTGCCGACAGAAGCAACTGCCATGGCCGCCTGAAGTTCCATCTTATCTCTACTATCTTCTGTTTGCCTTTGGTGGGTCCGCCTGGCCGTCAGGTTGGCTGAACCCCGTGTGTGCGGTCTTCTGCCGGCTCTCCTTCTGTATATCTCTGACACCCCTACAGCTTTTAAACTCCTGCGTGCTCCACTATCCTGCTTGCACGTTGCAGTCTTAATTCCCGACCTCCTCTCGCGGTCTCCCTCTAGTCCTCTCTGCTTCTTTTGTCTTCCCGGTTCCCTCTGTTTCCTATTTCTCTTTTGTTTCCCCACCTCTGCCTCCCCTCTCCTTCTCTGCATCCTCTGTCCATCTGGTCTCTCCTCTCTTCTCTTCCCCCCCCTTCCCCCCCCCTCCCCTCTCTCTTTGGATTGTCCATTGCGGCCTCAGCCCTCCTGGCCTCGTCCTCTCCCTGTCCGTTCCCTCGTTCCTTCGCCTCTGCCCTCTTGACAGTGACAACAAACTGAAAAGAAAGATGCATGCGCAATTACAGAAAAAAAACATGGGACGCACAAGTGGCAAGTAAGTACTGCACAATCATCAACAAGCGTCATCAAGCCATAAGCATATTCTTACGAAGATGGACGTGGGTCCACAGGGACCTAGGTTCCCCCAGTCAAGGACTAAGCCTTCAGCATTTTGCGTGTCTTTGACTTGTGCTGCAAGGTAATCGTGTGGCCGCAAGTTCTTAAGGCCACAGATGCATTGCTGAGGGCCTCGTCTTTGTAAATGTAATCTCGCGCACGTTGGGAAGTATGGGAGATATTTTTTTTTGTTCTTTATGAAAAAGTGTGGCCACCTTGAGAGATACCATCGTGGAACTGACCGGCCCCAGGTTATTCAGAAATACATGAACTAGTTCCATCTGGATTCGATTCGAGCTTATGTCTGTATTTCAGAAGTTCATTGGTGTACCAACTGAGCTATTGTAAACCTGGTTTATTGGGGTTGCAGCCAGAGCTTTGTAAAACCCCTTTTGGGGGGATTAAGATTCAGATTTTCTCAAAGACGAAAGTTATCTTTGTTTGTTTACATAGCTGCACTGCAGATGTGACTGTCATGAATAATACTTAGTTCTCGGAAACAAAATAAGAAACTTAGTTTTGGTTGCTGTCTTGCGCTTTCTGCAGCTCGTAATCTCACTGAGGAAGAGAAGAAAGGCTATCGAGAATTGCAATGGGACGATCGACAAGTGTGCAAGTGTTACTTGGTCAGATTTTGCCCTCACGATCTGTTCACCAACACAAAGAGCGATCTTGGTACGTTTACCGTTTGACACCCCATTCTCCTCCCTCTTCCTCCTCTTTTGCCTTACCCCATCTCTTCCTCCTTAAACTGAAGTACGCGGCCCCAGCCTTGCAGAAAGTTTTTTGTTGCCACGAACAAAATTCGGAGGGGCCGCGCGGTGTGGGGCGCCGTTGAAAAAAAAAATCGTTGGGGCCTCCAAAGTGGTGTGGGTTTGGTGCTGACACCCGCGGGCCGATGTGTGGTGTACTGGTGCTTTAACAGGCAGGCGAGCAGTTGTGGAACTCGACATGCTTCACTCTCACATCAAGCACGATCTTGGTGATCTGACACCTGGCACCCTCCCTCCTCGTGTTCGTTTAGGTCTCCTCCCACACCTTACCATACATAGATGGGGTAAATTGATAGGGGCAAATGGGTGCGGTAGCCATTGAATGTTCGCAGTACCCACTGCAGCAGCTCTTCACACCTCCACAAGAAAGAAAGAATGATAGTGCCAGACTGTTTCGTCGGACTTGCACAGAGTCATCAGGAGGTTGAACCCTGACAGTCTTCCCAGGATGGATTTGACTGATGGATGAGGACTTACCACCTCACCCAGAGTAAGTAATACCCCTGAGAAAAGTGGTCGACTTTACTCGTACAACCCTGCAATTCTAGCATACTGTACTTCCAAGCCCCTGACAAAAATGGCACGAAGTCTGACAAACTAATCTGTCACAGCCATAATACCCCTTCTGCACACTCCCTCAGGCATGGATACCCACTCAGCCGTCCGTGTGTGTGTGTGTGTGTGTGTGTGTGTGTGTGTGTGTGTGTGTGTGTGTGTGCCTGACCTGTCGGTACGTGGGTATGCAAAGTGATTTGGTGGTGGCGATGACTGGACATAACAAGAAGATGTCGGGTGCTACCGAGTCCCGGACATATTGACAATTTGGCGATACTCGTAATTGGGTATGAAGCTTAGCTTTCCCCGGGGCTCCCGGCCGCCCTGCCTGGGGTGGGGTCCCACCCAGGGTACCCCGGGCATGCAAAATTCCACTTCTTTTCTTTTTTGTTTTTGTTTTCTGAAGGCAGAGCTTTGCTGCGCTTTAGCAGCATTGTCCAAGTACGGCCTCTTTTTTTTGCTTCATGTTGGGTTGTGTGTGTTAGCGGGGGGGGTGGGTGGGCAGGAGGGAGCTGGGAGGGTGCTATGGCGGTGGTGGGAGGTGCACTGTGGCCAAGGACGGAGGAGGGACGAGGGAGGCTATGGTGGAGGAGGAGAGAGGGGCACTGTGGCAAAGGAGGAAGGGGATTGAGAGGGAGGGAGGAAGAGAGCCTAGAAGTTATATTTTAAATTTTAAATATATTTTAAAAGAAGGCATGGAGAAGGGAGGCAATGGAAAGGGAGGGCGGAGGGAGGCTATTGCGGAGGAGGGAGGGGTGCAATGGGGGGAGGAGGGAGGAGGGGCGCTATTGCAAAGGAGGGACGAGGGAGAGGGGCCTAGAAGTTTTATTTTATTTTTTGAATATATTTTAAAAGGAAGCAGGAGGGAGGAGGGAGGTGATTGAAAGGGAGGGAGGAGGGAGGCAATGGAAAGGGAGGCAGGAGGGAGGCTATGATGCAGGAGGAGGGATGGGCGCTATGTCAAAGGAGAGAGGATGGAGGAGGAAGGCTATTGTGGAGGAGGGAGGGGCGCTATTGGGGAGGAGGGAGGAGGGGAGCTATCACAGAGGGGGGAAGAGGGAGGAGGGAGGAGGGGAGCTATGGCAGAGGAGGGAGGGGAGACTCTGAGGCGGGAGAATGCTAAGAAAAGAAAAAGTTCAGTCTGTTCAAAAGAAAAGAAGAGGAAGAAGAACAAGAAGAACTGACAAAGAAACGAAGAAGGAGAAGAAGAGCAACAATAACAACAAAAGTAGAAAGCAGAAGAAGAAAGAAGAAGGCAAAAAAACTTACCTCGAACCTTCGACATGACGGTCACACGGTTGACTTCATGGGAGAAGGGCCATGGCGACGGCAACCCGGACGAAAGCACGGTGCAGGAGTGGGTGTTGGCTGCTGCAATGGCAGCCACGACGGTGGTGCGGGGGACGATTGCAGTGCACCGCGTCGCACTCGAGGGCGCACAGTGGACAATGCATTGGCGTGGGGGCGACCTGGTGCGACATGGGGAACTGCCCAGGATTCGAATTTGAATACTGGAACTGCAGGCGCCATCGATCTGTGATGATCGACGGCCAAGATAAAAGAAAAAAGAACAAAAACAGGACCCTACCGGGTCCTCAAAATGTATGCACCGCCACCAAACCACTTTTGTTTTTTTTGCCCGTAGGCCAAACCACGGTGGTATGAAACCAGTTTTTCAAGGCTGTTCTGGCCTCGGCACGAAGGGTGCCTGGGAGCCTGGCGGGGGAGGTTGCAGTGCCGTATGCCCCGAGCGTCATTCCAACACGCCCGGCTAGGAAAGCTAGGGGTGAAGATAATTTGGGGTACCAACTTCGGCAGCAATTATGACAGCCTGGTCCCTGGGCACAACAAGAAGTTGGGCTGTGTCCTGGATACAGCAACTAAAATTTTGGTTATGCCCCAGAAACAGCCAGCTTACCCTGGCATGCCCCTCCCATGCCAGTTGAAGTTTGTGAAATATCCCTGATGATGTTTGGGCCTGACATCTTTTCAATGCACTGGTTCAACAGTTCAGGATATACTACCACTCGGAGCTTTGGTGGGCATTTTTCTACTGGTACCTGGCATGCCACGAAATTGCGTCGCCCTCCATCACGGGCCTGCTGAATAGATTCCAGGCGGGAGGGGTATGCCAGACTAAAAACCGGCTGTGTGAGGGGTGGAATACAAATAAGTTGAAATAAGCGCTTTTTTTAGGTTCATAGCGAAAATCTTTTTTTAAATATATTTATACTAAAGAGAGATTAGTTTCCCACCAAACGACACATACGGGTGTTGCATTTGAACTGTTTCAGTGAAGGATTTTTTCGCACCTCCTTTTCAAACCACCAATACCTCAGAACAAGGGGAAGATGCAACAGGATTTAGGGGGGGCGGGGGTAGTTTCTATCGGAGGCACAATAGGAGTGTGAGGAAAGGGGCCAGGTTGATGCAACAGGATTTAGCAGGGGGGGGGGGTAGTTCTATTGGAGGTGCAGGTGAG